GTCATGACCATCACATTTACAATGATACTTTATGATCGCATTTTATGAAAATCATGTTGTCTTCTACAATTAGCATATGTGCATGCATGACCTTCTAAAATAAGCATATGTGCATGTATGACGTTATGCATGGATCTATAGATGGCGCGTCAATGGAAAACCTATAGAAAGTCGAGTTTAGGACCAAAAACATCATCTTGTGGAATATTCGAGAATTCATTCGGTGCGTGATGAACGAGGAGCTATATGTTGGAGAAAACACTTTAGGTTGCTCTAGACGTGGCCACGGCTCGGCCCAACCCACCGGTTAAGCCCGAACTGGCCTGGAACCGGCCTATGGTCAACGATTCTTGGACAGAGCCTGTGGTTTGATCGATTCCGTTCCGGGCCACATAATTGTAATTTTTGAACTGCCGGGTCGGCTCCAAAGCGGAACCGGAACTGGAACCGGCGGTTTGTCCTTCTTTATTTTTTATTTTTACATTTTTTATTATTTTTTAATTATTTTTATTGTTTTTTAATTGAACCAGACCGGCCCCGAACTGCCGGTTCATTGAACCGGCCAGTTCATATGTTCGGTTTAGGGTCCTCCAAACCCCGGCTCGGAACCGGGTTTGGCCACGTCTAGGTTGCTCATTATGGGAGGAATTATGGAATTCGGGCTACAATTAAGCTCTTGCATGTTTTGCACCTTTTTGGAGAGCATAATTGGGAACTTAATAACAATATTGAGGGGCTTTCTTGTCAGCCTGTGGATAGTGATAGTGAGGAGTTGGTAAGAGGAACTAAAAGCGAGTTGCTAGAGGAACCAAGAGCGGAAGTTACAGGAGTAGCTAGGACTTGATGTAAACTGCGATATTCCTGGAACTTTTACCTTCCGTTGTTTCTTTCTAAATCGCTTATTATTTAGAACGAAATATTTTTAGGTTGGATAAGATCATCAGCATCAGCATTTTATTTTAGTATTATTATCATGAGTTCTATTATGCTAATACTTTACGGGTCCAAGACTAATTTCTTAAACATTTAAAATAAAATACAACTCATGATAATAGTACTAACGATAATGATGGTAATAATAATTAAAATAGTTGGGGTTTTACATCTATCCACTTCAAAAATATTTTTGTCCTCGAAAATAAGCTATCTAAAAGTGAGTAGTTTTAAGTTATAGGAATATCTTGACTTAATTGCTTCATGTACTAGCTTTGCCTATAACTTCTCATTTTTGGTTTCTCTTCCAAATCCTTATCATTCATCATCTATTTGCGTGGTTCCCTCATGTTCCTCCCGACCCGACGCTTGCTCAAATGGAGCACGAGTCATAAAAGATACCCGAGAAAGATCTTCAATATTGTTCCTAAATTCACCGCGTGTCTCTATCTCTTATACTAAGGTTTTCAAGGAAGGCAACAAAACAAGAGCTTAGCCCAAATTCCTTAAATCCTCCCTAAACTCAAGCAACTTTAAAATGTTTTGTCATGGACAACTCCTCGTTCATCACGAACAGATGAACTTTCGAAGTTTCCTCAAGATGATGTTGTCCAATCCTAAACTTGACTTTCTAAAAGTTCTCAACGTAAATGTGATAGGTCATGACTCTACAATGAAAGTTTTTAATGTAACTTGAAACTTAAATTGTCTAATGTGCATATTTGAACCTAAAAACTTTTTGTAACTTGACTAGAGACGCAAACTAAAAAAATAACATATCATGCCCGAGCTTTTCCCCAAATTGGGAGGGCTAGGCCCGCAAAGTTACCGACGAGGGAGCTGCAACGGCGTGTTCGTGGCTTTGAAATAAGCGATGAGTTGCGTTGTTCAACGCCACGGAGGTAGACCGAGCCTCTGCTAAGTGAGGAGCATCAATGCTGGCGGCTTTTGGGTGAGGGCCGAATCTTGATTTCTCGACGACATTAGATTGATGGATTCCAAGCTGATTATTGAATCTTGATTCGTGGCACCTAGGGTTATGGGTTTGGCTAGAGGACGGAATATTTAGTCTTAATTTTATTTAGTTTTGCTTCATAATTTGGGTGTAGTTGTGGATATCTAATTTGATTGCGACTTCTGGTGGTAATTTAAATTATCAAATGTATAGAGTGATGAGGGATATTCTTATGGGTAGATGATGGTGGCTGATTTTGTGTTTGGTTTGCACAGAATATTACATCTTACATCTGGGAAGAAGGAAAAGAGGCATCAATAATATGAACTTTGAGTCTTTGACTATGTTTATTTGTTGTGTAGGAGAGACATGAGATAATTTGGTGGAGTAAAGAAAGTTGTATTTATATCCCAAGTAAAATTAACGTTAAAGAGTCTCATCCCTACTTCTTCCAATGGGTTGAATTCACAACTAAAAGTCTAATACATACATAGTTTGTTTGTTTAATTACACTATAATGTCATGGGCTTGTTTGTATAGTAGATTCGTTAATATTATTATTTCGGGGAAATAAAGATAATGCATAATATGCCGTGGGCC